GGAGGAAGGTTCTCGCTGCGCCGGCGCTGGGCCCTGGGCCAAGTGTGCTAGGAAACCCCCCCCCCCCAGCCCCGGCTCAGAGCTGGGCTGGCTGCCTGTCGCTGGAGGCTGGCTAGTTAATCGGTAACTCTCCACACTCCTCGGGGCCTCCGGGCCTCATCTTATGGGGGAGAAGGTGAGGTTCCGAGGGGCAGCAGCCTCCCCAGGGGTCTGGCCAGGCCTGTCCAGGCCCACTGTGGGGTGCTGCGGCCGGGGGGTGGGGAGGGTGGTGTGGGGGGTGGGGCAAGGGCTGGCCCAGCCCGGGGCTGTGGGGGAGGAGGTGGGGGATGGATGGGGCAGCGGGCCTTTGCCCTGGTGGGGTACACAGTGGACAGGCCAAGATCTACACAGGAGAGGGCAGACTGGGCTGGGCAAGAGCTTGGTCACCTCCCTAATGGGAGGCGCCTGAGGGGTCCGCCCTCCCGGGACTGGGCCACAGGCCCCCACGGATGGCCAGCCCTGGCTCCAGGTTTGGGGGATGGCGGGGGGAGGTTAACCCCGGGACTCTTGCTTTCTTTCCTCTCCTGCCTTTGTGCTCACCCGCCCCTTGTGGAAGTCCAGGGAGGGGCTCAGGGCCGGAGAAAGGCACCCATCTGCTGCCCCTGAGCGCTGAGCGCTTGCTCGACCTCTCTGAGCCTCTGGTTCCTCCCTTGCAAAACAGGCATCAAAATGCCTCTCGGTTCGGGTTCTTGGAAGGATTAAGTGAGGCAAGGAGCTGCGCCCGGGTGCAGGGCGGGCTCAAGGTGCCTGGTGCTGTCAGCCTGGGGAATGTGCCTCGGTGTCTGCAGGGCAGTCCGGGGGGCCTGCAGACAGACGCCCCTCGCAGGGTCCCTGGGGGCAGGCCGGGGGCGGGCCCCAGGACACAGGCTGCATCCTGGGCTTCCAGAAGCAGCTCCACGCGGCTCCCCAGGAGGAGGGGGCTTTGGGACACCCAGAGTGGAAGTCAGCCAGCAGGCGGCAGCACGTGGCTGAGGCCGGCGCCTCCCGCCCAGCTCTGCCACTCGCTTGGGCAAGGGTGTCTCCCCATCGAGCCTCAGTTTCCTGGACTGCAAAAGGGGCCCACTCCCTTGGCACTGGGGGCACTGCCAGGGGAAACAGCCCCGCGAGGCCCTGGGGGAGGGGGTTAGCTGCCTTAAGCCCTGGAGCAGGACCAAGTTCTTCAATCTGCCCAGGCCTGTCCACTCACCCAGAAAATGACACCCCAAACAGGCCCGTGCCATGCAGGGGAGTCGGGGGTGGGCAGCGCAGGCGGCTGGGACAGACAAGCCCCCCGCTCCCCGCATGTTAGTGGCACTCGACCCTTATTTCTCACTCCCATCTCGGTCAGGTGGGCGTGCGGAGGGAGCGCGTGGCTCTGCTCCCTGTAGTCATTCAGGGCTTCGGCCACCCAGGGGCTCTGCTGTCCCCAGGAGTCCCTCCCTGGACCCCCCCACCCCACCCCCAGTCTGGCTGGCAGAGCAGGGACAGGAGGGGGCAGGATAGCTTGGTTGGTGTGGATGGGCCCCGGGCTGGAGGGGGTGGGTGCCTTTCTGCTCTCCTGTCTGTGGCCAGCACTGGCCGAGTGGCCCCCCAGCTGCCGAGGGGCTGGGAATGTGGTCTTTGTTCTGTTCGGTGAGAGGAAGAGGAAACGGTTTGGGGAACACAGTGCTTTTGCTTGGTTGCTCCTCCACTGGACTGGGTGGTGAGTTCGGAGAGAGGTACGCTGGAGAAGCCAGCAGGGGACCGGGTGCCTGCCGGGCTCCCCCACTCCTGCATGGGCAGGATTTGGGGTGCTGGGGCATCCCGGGAGCCTCTCTTTGCTGTTCCCCTGGGGCCAGCACCCCCTCTCTGGTTCTGCTGTCTGCAGAAACACAGAGTACAAACGTTGTTCCTTTTGTTTCTTTTTCTCCTTCGAATATATTTTTAATTACAAAAGTAGAGCTTGGTTATTGTACTCAGACAGAGGTTTGCACACTTGGGGGGGGGCCCTTGGGGTGGAGGCCTGGGCCTTCTCTCAGACTCCCAGCCCCCAGCCCTCAGCTGTCCGCCCCCAGGTCTGTCCCTGGCTTGGGGGAAGGGACCCAGCCCCACTGTTGGGACCGGCAGGTCAGTGAGCCAATGGGTACCATCCTTGACTGGATTCAGGGTCACATACTCAGAGAAGGTCACCTCCCTGCCCTAACAAGCCCAGGAGGGGAGGTGTCCTCGTGGCCCTTGGAGAAAGAGAAGCAGAAAGCCCGGAGGGAAAGCAAAGAGAAAGCCAGGCAGCGGGTTGAGGTTGAGTCAAACCTTGCTCCCTCCCCCACTATGCGTGGCCCTGGTGGCTTCCCCAGGCTCCCGCTATCAGCTCCGTCCCCCTCCCTTCCCTGCACACAGGTGAGGCCCAGCAAGGGGATGCAGGGAAGCTGTCCCGGGCAGTGCTTGGCCCCAGCACTGCCCCGCTATTACCACACTGTGTGACACGAGGTGTGGGGGCCTGCCACTCCCAGTCCTTGGAGGCAGGACTCAATGTCACAATCCTTCAGGCTTATCACTGGGAGGGGGCTGGGACCCACCTGGCTGAGCTCAACTGGCCCCCATGGAGGTGGCAGGGTGGGCAGCAAAGGCAGTGGGAATGGCCCTCTAAGCCCACCCCCTGAACTGGACAGTGCTGGGGGAGGGCAGGGTCACACAGGGGCCCGGTGCAGGCTCGGCTCCTGCTCATTTATGAAGCACCTACTAGGTCCTCTGCCCTTAGGGAGCCGAGGGCAGACAGGTGTTCATAGTGCTAGGGAGTCCCTGCTAGGGAGGAGAGCTCGGACTCCCCTGGGTGTCTGGAGCAGGGCCTGGGAGTGGGGTGGCTTCCTTCCTCAAGGAAGGGAGCCGGCCTGGAGGCTGAATCTGGCCTGGGGGTGGGCTACTTCCCCAGCCTGCCCTCCTGGACAGCTGGAGCCAGGGCATCCGGATCTCTCGGGAAATCCTGGGGGCCACCTGGTTCCACATTCTGTGGTCACTACCGGCTGTGGCCCTGGGGAAGCTGATGTGACCTTGGCACCAGGGCTGGGCCAGGCCTGCCTCCTTCTAGCCCCAGGCCCGGTGACGTCAGCCTGGTGTGAGGAGACCACAGAGCTTGGGGGACCTTTCTCAGTTCCTCTTTACGTTCCTGAAGATACAAAATTGTAACATCTCAATGCTTATGGGAAACGTGGAATGCAGTGCACAGAAGAGAATAAAAACCAATCATGAACCATCGCTTGGTCCTCCTGTCAAGACCCCAGCACCCTGCCCTGTCCCCCCCTCCCTCCCCTGCGCCAATGCCCGCTCCTGTTTGTCTCATCCCCTCACTTCAACCCTCGCCTCCCCTGGACCCAGGATACCTCCTCCAGGACGCATTTGCACACTATCACACCGTCCCATCCCTGGGGAGTCCTGGAACCCACCTGACCCTGTGGGGGAGGCGGTCTGGTTGGGGTTGGGTCAGCCTTATTTTTCTTGCTGGGCTCATGGGCTCACCCGGGACAGGGGCTGACAGCTCAGGGCTCTGCTGGACCCTCCAACAGGTGCCTGACCCTCCCCACCCCCCAGCCCAGGGCTGCTTTTAGCTTGGGCTGGGGTGGTGGGGAGGTGGCTGGAGGCAGTTCCTAGGCTCCCCGCCCCACAACAGGCTGGGCCAAAGGGAAAGCTGCAGAAAGTAATGGTCTCCCATGGCCTGGCCCTGCTGGGATGAGAGCCTCCGGGGAGCACCTGGGGCTGTGGCAAGGCCCGGCGTGTGGGGGAAAAGGGGTGTGGGTCCTGGCAGGTCCTTCCCTTTCCCCTGACAGCTGGAGTAGGGCCCTCTGGCTCGCGTGCCCCCTCATTCTCGGGGCATGTTTTCTCCCAACAACCAACAATATTTATTGGGCAGGATGACGGGGTCCTAGCCTTCCAGGACGGTGGGACAGATAAAACTCCTACAGCAGCTAGAGAGGGGCTGCCCACTGCTCACCCCCACCTCCCACCTGGGGGTGATAGGGGATAAAGCTGGCCCAGAGGATCAGTATACCCAGTCAAGGCCCTAGGCTAGGCCGGGCCAGGCCCACCCCGCTGGAGAAGCCTCTAGTGCCCTGTCCAATACCCCATCCAGGGATAACAGCCTCCAGCCAGTCTGGGCACTCAGACCTCTGGCATTGTGTGGCCGAAGCCTGAGAGGTGCCGGGCACCTGGTCCACGACGTGGTGGGCATAGCCCCGGACGGGCTCCGCCCGTTTCCCATCCACTGAGCAGGGCTGGCAGGCCCCCAGATCTGGCTCAGGACTCAAGGGGCTGAGGGTCGGCTCTCCAAGGTGTCTGAGACTTCGCCCTGTGGTGGGGGGGCGGGAAGAGTGGCTCGAGGGCCTTAGGGCCAGCAGGTGTGTTAGGGCTCCAGGTGCGCGGAACCCCGCCAGGGACTCACAAGCCCCGGGCGCCGCAGGCCGCGCGGGGGCAGCCGAAGACCCCGTCTCGCCGCAGCTAGGGACGAGATGCCCGCGGCTGGTTCAAGCCCCTTCAGCCGGCGCTGGAGGCCCAATGGTGAGCGCGGGCGGCGGGGCTGGCGCCCCCGGGGGGCGAGTCGGAACTGCCCGGACGCCGGGCCCCGCCGCGCCAAGGAGGGCGCGCCGGCCGAGGGGGCGCCCGCGCCGCCGCCGCCGCCGCCTCGCAGCCCCCGCCAGCAGACAAAGGAGCCGGAGGGGGGCGGGAGGGGGGGATGGGGCGAGGGGGCGGGGCGCCGCGGTGTCACGTTACCGCCCGCAGCGCCCTTTAACTCGGGCCCCGCCCCGCTCACCGCCCCCCGCCCGCTGCCGCGCGCGGCCCGCGCCCCGCCAATCGGCCCGCGCGCCCCGCCCCGCCCTCGGGTGGGTGTGTGCACGCGGCCAATGGGCGGTGCGCGGGGGCCGGGCCGCCAGCGGGGCGGGGGCAGAGCGGCGCGGGCCAATCGCCGCGGTGTTGTTGAAACTGAAAATACTACATTATGCTAATCGCCGCGGGGCCCCCGCGCGGGGGGGGGGTGGGACCCTCGCGTATAAAGGGGCGCGCGAGGGCTGGGCGTTCCACAGGCCAAGTGCTCTGCGCTCGGTAGGTGCCAACCAGGCCCGAACGAGCCGAGCGGGCGAGGACAGGCACTGAGGGGGCGCGGCCGCCGGCCGGACGACACCGCAAGCGAGACTCAGGAGCAGCCCAGGGCCCGACAGCCAGGTAGCCGCCGCGCCCGCCCTCCCGCCGCGTCCCTTTGCAAATGCAGACTCCGACTGCGCGGGGTCTCACTTGCGCCCGGCCTCCGCCCTCCTCTCCTCTCTTCCTCCTCCTCCTCTTCCTCTCCTCTCCTGTCCCGTGGCCCCGGCCCGCGCTGCCCCGGGCCAGGTTCGACGTGTGTCTCCGCAGCGCATTGGCAATGGAGCGCCTTGTCGCCCGCCGCACCTTTCCCCTGTTCGCGCGCACCAGCGCCTGCCGCAGCCTCTTCGGGCCGGTGGACCACGAGGAGCTGAGCCGTGAGCTGCAGATCCGCCTGGCCGAGCTGAGCGCCGAGGACCAGCGCCGCTGGGACTACAACTTCCAGCAGGACGTGCCACTGCGCGGCCCCGGGCGTCTGCAGTGGACCGAGGTGGACAGCGACTCCGTGCCCGCCTTCTACCGCGAGACGGTGCAGGTGGGGCGCTGCCGCCTGCTCCTGGCGCCCCGGCCCCGCCCGGAGGGCGCAGGCGATAGCCCGCCCCCCGCGCCGCCGGCCGACGAGCCCCTCGACGGCCTCGGGGAGGCGCCGGCGCCGCCGTCCGGCGGCCCGGTGGTGGCTCCCGCCCCGGCCCCAGCCGCGGCGCCGCAGGAGAGCGATGAGCAGGAGGCGGTGCCGCCGCCGCGCAGCCAGGAGCCCCTCGCCGAGCCGCTGCACTCAGGGATGTCGGGGCGCCCCGCGCCGGGCGCTGCCGCTGCCACCGGTAGCGCCGCCGCCGCCACCAATGCCGCCGCCGCCGCCGCCGCCGCCGCCGCCGGAGGGGCTGTTGCCACCACCGCTGCCGCGGGAGGCGCCGCGATCAAGAAGCTGCCCGGGCCTCTCATCTCCGGTGAGCCCCGCGCGGCCCCGCCCCGGCCCGGCCCGGCCCGGCCCTGCTTTGTCCGGCCGGCCGGGCTCCCCCGGCCTCGGGGGCCTCCCTTGGTCCCCGCCTCCTCCCGTGGCATTAAAGGGCCAGCGGCGCGCAGGGCGCGGCTGCGCCCGCACCCCGTCCCGCCCTGCTGTTGTGCTCCGGAGCGGCTGGCGCGGGAGGGACGGGAGAGCGCGCGCTCGGGCCCCCGGGCGCGCGATCCTCGCTCTGGCCGCGGGAGCCCCTCCCCGGGCGCGGCGGCGCGGCGGGCGCGGCGGGCGCGGCGCGGAGGGGGTTAAGCGCGGCGGCAGCCCCGGGGGGCTTGGCCGCGGGACAAGGAGAAATGCTTACACAGCACATTGCGCGGGCGACGTAAACAAAGCTGACCCGCCGCGGACCTCGGCGCGGGCGGGGCGGCGCCCCCACCCCGGCCCCCTCTTGGGTTCCCCTGCCGACCCCGCCCTGACCGGCTGCGCGCGCTGTCGCCCGCAGATTTCTTCGCCAAGCGCAAGAGACCCGCGCCCGAGGCCAAGGCGTCGAACGAGGTTCCCGCGGGATGCGCCGCCCCAGGCGCCGCTCCGGCCGTAGGCTCGGCGGAGCAGACCCCGCGCAAGCGGCTGCGATGAGGTGGGTACGGCCCCGCGCGCGCTGGGCGGGAGGGGTCGCCCCGCGGGGTCCTCGCGGCCGCCCTGTCTGTCTGCTGTCGCTCACCGCGCCTCTCTCCCGCAGCGTCGCGCGTAAAGAGCCCTGAGGGAGCCCGCTGGGCAGCGGACAGGACAGGAGCGCGGGGCCTCGGCTGGGACCGTCCATGTAGCAGCAACCGGCGGCAGCTGCCACCGAGCAGCGTTCGGTTTCGTGTTTAAAATTTAAAAAAAAAAAAAACTGTGCAATGTATTAATAACGTCTTTTATATCTAAATGTATTCTGCACGAGGAGTACACTGGTCCCAAGGTGTAAAGCTTTAAGAGTCATTTATATAAAATGTTTAATCTCTGCTGAAACTCAGTGCAAAAAAATGAAAAAAGAAAAAAAAAAGGAAAAAAGAAAAAAACATGTATATTTGTACAAAAAGTTTTTAAAGTTATACTAACTTATATTTTCTATTTATGTCGAGGCGTGGGCCGCTCTGCCACGCGATAGCTCGGTTATTGGTTATGCCAAAGGCACGTCACCGCATCTGGTTATCGACAAATGTAAATTTATTTTTATAGCGGACTCTGGGGGGAGGGGGTCGCTCACAAGCTGTAGCTGCCGTACAAGCCCATCTAGCTAGCAGTTCTCTTCGCGCTTTCGCTGTCTCTTTTTATTATTATGATTATTTTAAACTTGAAGACAAATTTGTTAACATGGTTCCTGAGCCGTCTGCACCACTGCCCCGGCCCCTCGTCCGCCGGGTTCTAAATAAAGAGGCCGAAAAACGCTGCAAGTCAGCTCCGTGTGTGCGTGAACTGCCTCCAGCCTCCTTCTCTGGCACCCCCAGAAGTTAGGGAGATAGGACAGCGGACACAGGGGGCAGCCCAGCTTCTTTTTAGGCCACCCGTCCCAAAGCGACAGGGACTTTCTCCTGGTAGGGCAGGCCCACCACCACCTGCTGCAGGCCCCTAACTTAGGGATGAGCGGCCCCGCCCTCTCTGTCACCCCTCCCTCCCGCCCCCCTCACGTGCGGGGCTGTGCGTCGAGACTGGGGGGGCTCACTGCTTCCCCTGTTCCAGGGAAGCCACCCACACTCCAGCCGCCCTGGGCTGAGCCCTGATGGGACTCAGGTGGGCACTTGCGGGGGCTGGGCCAACGCCCATTCCCCCCCTCGCTGACTACCGCGGCGCCGCCTGGGAACCGGGGCTTTCAATTCTTCAAGCCTCGCACAGGGTGGAGGCCCAGTGGCTCTGGGGTTCCCAGCTTCGTGGGCCAGGGTCCACCGGGGTCCGGCCAGAGGACCCACCGACGGGTTCCGGGCCTGTTCGCGCTCGCAGTGGGGGAGGGGCAGCCCAAAGGCCTGCGAGGGAGGAGGGGGGGCAGGGGAGGTGCCACGGGCCAGGGAGGGGTGGGGAGGGGTGGAGAGGGGTGGGCTCCGGCCGAGGAGGAACTCGCGGTCGCATCCAGGCACATGCACCCACCAGCCTTCTGGTTTCAAAGTACTCCCTTTCAGTCTAAAAGAGGTTTATTTTATTTTATTTTTTTATAGCTGACCTATAAACCTCTGAAAATTATGGCTTACAATGGAAAGGATGACGTGAGGTAGCACAAACTGGCGGCCAGCAGTATTTGTGCGGGTGCCTTGGGCCAGGAGAAGCCGGGGACTGGTGGTGTATTTAAGTTAACCGTTGGGGGCTGTAGGCAACACTGAACGTCCCCGACGGCTCAGGGACAAAGGCTGGGCTCAACCCTTGAGTCTGAAGATGCATCTAGATGTAATTAACTTCGCCTTCCCCCCCAACCCCAGTGCCTAAAAGGGCCTGGAGGAGGGAGATGGGGCTGGACAGGTCACTGAGAAATGCCCCAGCAGTGAGGGTCGGGGGGCCTGGCCCCCCTCCAGCTTGCTATCAGCCTGATTACAACGTGGGAATTAGGCCTGCATAGACCTGACATCAGGCTTCAAGCCTCTCCTGTCCCACAACCACCCCCCCGCCGCTGCTGTGTGACCACAGTGGGGGGAAGAGGAAGCACGATGGCAGTTGAGGCACGAGTGGGGGGCTGCTGGGCCCGGCACCTGACAGAGTCCCCTGCACTCTACCTGAATCTGGCAGGAGAGGGGCACCTCACAGTCCCCAAGCCCAGCTGTCCCTCCCTGCTTCCTGCTGTCACCCAAGGGTGGCTTTCTCCAAGGCAGGGCGAGCGCTGCCTCCCAATGGGAAGGCGAACAATGCTATCGTTTCTAGAGATGCCCCCCTGCCCCCCAGCAGGAGCTGCTAGAGATACCTAGAGGGTGCCCTCCACAGGGAAAAAGCATCGGATTTGGGGCCAACTTGTGACCCTGGGCACACGTGGACCCGGCAAGCCCTTCTTTCCCTCGGTGGGTCTCCGTTTCCTGCCTTTGGTGCCCTGTGGTCGTCATATGAGGATATTAGGGACACAGTAACATCTGGTGGCCCCCAACTCTCTTCTCATCTGTGCTTGTGACGGTGAGAATGGGCATGCGCCCTGCTGTCAGAATGGGCCCTTTCCTCTCCGCATGCCCAGGCCCTGCCCAAGCCCAGAGCACCTGGGAGCAGACTGGCAGCCAGCACACGTGTGGAGTGTGTGTGCGGTGCATGTGCCCTCAGTCAGGGGCTGGCTCCAGCTCCCCTGGGGATCCGGGATGATGGTAATAATAATAATAATAGTACTAATACTACAGCCAACAACCAGGACAACCAGTCTTGGGGCCTAATGGCACGAGCTGAGCACAGTTCAGCGAGATCTTACCAGCGTAGCCCTGCCATGTTCCCCGTTTGTCTGGGGAGGAAACTGAGACATGGAGCAGGCTACCGGAGGGCGAGTCACTGACCTTGGTGGGGCTGCATCGCCCTAGCCTGTCTCTCGGAAGGCGGGCACGAGGTGGGAAGGGGAGCCAGGCCCCCCGGGCTGCAGGAGGGGAATGTGAGCTCACACGCACAAAGCGTGGAGCCCTGCACCAGGCACACACAGTAGGTGCGCAGTGATCGTCAGGGGCTCAGATGACGTGTCTTCTTCAGGCTCCCCCAGACACTGACTGAGCGCGTGCTGCAAGCCAGGCACTGGGCTAGGCTCTGTGCATGGCAGCTTCGTGCAGACCAGGCTGGGCACAGACTGTAGAGCCTTTAACCAGGCAGCGGCTGGGAACGGGCTGCCCCGGGCGGGGGGGGGGGGCAGGGGAGCTGCAGGAGGGGAGGGCACCATGTGTGCAGGGGGGAGGGCGAGTGTGTCTGAGCTGGAGGGTCTGAATGAGGCCGAGAGTGGGGCGAGGGGCTGCTTGGGGTCTCTCCTGGCTCCAGGGGCCCTCGGCTGGCCTGGCCCGCTGCTGGGTGTTGGGCCTCCACACGGATGAAACATTATTTCACCTAACAGTGCCTTTTGGGGTGTGGCTGCCTGGCCTCCCCACTCCCTGTCCTTTTCCTCTGGTCTTCTGGACCTTCCTGGGTCTGATGAGCTGGGGTCAAAGGTTGGATTTTATCTGTAAGCAGTGGGGAGCCCCTGGGGTGCAGAAGTTGCAGCAATTTTAAAAAGCGTGCTGAGGCTGCTGGGTGGGGAGGGAGGCAAGGGTCAGCAAGGGGCTTCAGCGGCCATCCGGGCAGAGTACCTGGTCGGCAACTATTCCAAGGGCCTCCAGCCTGCCACACACCACTCTGGGCACCAGAGACAGGGCGGTGAATGAAAGGGACCCAGTCAGTCCCTCGCAGGAGCTGCCTCTGTCGTGGGAGGTGGCATAGTGAAACGTGCTGAGCCACGGCAGAGGTGGTCATGTCCCCGGTAAGCGGAGCTGAGCCCCTGTGTCAGGGCGGAGGGCGGGGGGCTACTGTCTAAAGCCCGCTGTGCCAGCCCCCCGGCAGGTGACATCTGAGCTTGACAGGGGAGGGGCACACACCGTGAGGATTAACTGGGAGAGGAGTTCTGGGCAGAGGGCACAGGCGGTGCGAAGGCCAGGAAGCCTGGAGTGTTCACAGAGTGATGGGCCAGAGGGGCTGGGGTGTGAGGTGGGGTCCAGAGAAATGAGCTGGCCTGGCAGGGAGGGCGAGCAGGACTTGCTGGTGGGCTGGAACAGGTGTGGGAAAATAGGTGGAGGGTTTGGGGCTCCCGTAAGTGGGTATGTGGGTCATTCTCAGAGCTGAGGAAGCCGTTACTGATAAGGGGAGAAGGGGAAAACAGAGACAGGGCCTCTTGTTTTGGACCTAAATTGTAATCCAGGCCCTTCCCTGCCCTGATTCCCATTCTCACCAGGCCTGTGGACCCCAGGATGCATGTTTAGTGCTCAACCCTGCCAAAGAGGTTTTAGCACTCACAGGCGAGGACTTTCAGAGCCACTGGCCTGGTCGCCAGCCAGGACACAGCTCGCACCCAAGCTCAAGAGCACTTTTCTTAAAAACAAATTTATACACCATTATTAACTAAAGTCGACACTTTATATAAGAGGTCACTCTCAGTGGTGTGCGTCCTGTGGGTCTGGACAGATGCTTGATGACGCATGTCCACCACCACGGGGTCATGCAGAGTGGGGTCCCCGCCCTAAAGCCCTCCGTGCCCCGCCTGTCCACCCCGCCCTGTGCAAACCCTGACAACCCCCGATCTCTGTCCCGTCTCCCTCGTTCTGCCTTTTCCGGAATGTCGTAGAGCTGGGGTCGTGGCCTGCGGCCTCCTCAGACAAGCTTCTCTCACCCACTGATGCTCATTGACGGTTCCTCTCCCACCGTTCTCGGCTCGAGAGCTCACTCCTTTTCAGCACCGAAGAAGATCCTGTTGACTGGACGGACCACAGTTTATTTGTCCACATGCCTCCTGAAGGACTTCTTGGTCGCTTCCAACTTTGGACAATTATGGATAAAGCTGTGCAGGTTTCTGGTGTGGACGCACATTCTTAACTCCACTGGGTACATCCCGAGGAGCATAACTGCTGGGCCGTGTGGGAAGACGGTGTAGAGTTTTGTAAGAGACCGCCGCCGCCCCGTCTTCCAGAGTGCTCCCAACTCGGCACGCCCAGCAGCAGTGAATGAGAGTTTCTGCCCAAGGCACTGTTTTAGGAACGTTTCTCTTGTGAGGACCACACTGACCACCAGGTTTTAGGTGAATTAAAAAAAAAAAAAGAGAGAGAAAGAAACTTCATCACAATTTAGACGCAACAAGGACAAAGCAAAGTTAAAAACGCACACGGACAACAGTGGCTTTCGGTGAGTGCCTCACGGGTTCCACCGGGCTGGGATGGAGAGCCTGGGCTGGCAGTCAGCTCCTGTTCAGCTGGCGCTGGTGGATTGCAGTACTGTCCCAATATTTGCTGCCCTGCCTTGCGGGAGGGTTCTACATCACCTGCGGTTGGGTCCAGACTTGGCCGACGAGATGGGCTCAGCTTGGCATAGGCTGCGGCTAGGAGCCGCCCTCGGGTGCCACCATCTTCCCTCTCCACCGGGAGACCCGCAGGGTCCCGACAGAGGCTGCTCCTTCCCACCAGGGCGGGACGGTCCCGGTCTGCAGGTGGCCTCAGCCGTCGAGGTATTTGTTATACAGCGTGAAGTACACTGCGCTGACCGCTTCTTTGAAGATCCCAACCCACTGTTTTAGGTTTCCAGGAAAGGCACGAGGGCCCGGTGGCCTTGTCAGGTTGTCCTGGATGCTTGGACGGGAGTCCAGAGATTATGGAGACTCCTTGGTGGGCACTAGGTCTGTACCGTCTCGTTTAAGGGCTGGAGGCCGGGTCATGGAGCTCGGTAGGGCTCCCCGCCCCCTCCGGCCATCTTCTGTTCTGTGACTGCTTGTGCTTTAAATG